TAGCTAATTGTACGTTCGTCATTCTTACCCCATTAAATTTCATTAATATAATTACAACAGTTTCTATTTTTGCTAATTATGAACTTCATGTGTAACTAACCTTGTTTACTGTTGTTTATTCTTGTATTTAATTGTTCGCATTTCATGATTTTAATAACTATTATTTCTTTTATAATCTAATGCGGCAAATCTTATTATTTCAGTTTTCATAATTGTTTATAAATACTGACAGACATTTTTTAGTTGTATTTTCATGTTTTGATTGTAATGTATCAAAATATAATTAATAACATGATATTACTTTGTCAGTATTAAACAATTTTTGCTATGGCTAGCTGGACCGATGGGTCCTTCAGATAAGTGACTACTTTTCCTTGTTTTAGGGTGTCACAGTAAATAGACTATATGTAAATACAATTATATATATGTATCTATGTATATACTGAAATTGTATATTATCACGTAGTGTAAATGATTGATGTATCAAAAATAGCTCATATTGTAGCATTTAAATATCTATATAAAAGTGTATGTGTTCAAATCACTGTTATTCATGACCATAAACATGTGATAGTCATCGCAAATTTTGTTCTGCACATAGTAAATCGTCCATATTTATTCGTCATACTGCATGACCCATTTTTCTTATCGTTTATGCTTTAATAAATAGTTATTATTCATTGATTTTAATAGTCAAACTCACTCGTTGATATTTTTTATTATAAGTTTAACCCAGCCAATTACCGAGTCGTCTCCACTAAAGCAGACTTTTCAGCTTTAAATTTACTTTTGGTATTTCTAGCTCGTTTCATTCATTGTATCTTTCTTTATAGTTTGGGTAGTTGTTTCTCTATATTCAGTTTAGTTTCTTTCAATTATCTCATTTTCTTTCAGTTATAAGAGTAGTGTTCTTATTTATGAAATGAAGTAAAAAATTTCTTTTTTCTTTGTATTATTAATTGCATGCTCTTTTTTTCTAAATACAAAACATGTTTAATTCTTTTTATCATGTCGTGTGTTGCTAGGGTATACCGCCTTCCGGACCCGAGGTGTGACATCCACAACCCAAAAGTCATAAAATTTAGAATAAAATTTAGTCATACATTTTAGAAAATGATTAAAATTGTTGATTGAAAGTAGATTACAATTTAATTTTGGACATAAAAAAACAAATGATACATAGGTTGTAATTTTTGAAGACATCTCCTATCATATAATCTGATGCTTTGAAGTCAACTATCCAAGATTTTAATTTATTGCTTTGAATAATAAAAGCTTGGGGAAAGATACATTGATGTGCAAACAGACTGATAAGTTGCTCGGTAGATGATTGAAATATTTGTCCAAAACTAGAATAATTATTAAATATTTTTTGCATTGCCTCAATTTGCTCTCAAGTGAACCGGTTGAAGTTTGAATTGTTGCTCGTTGTGGCAACAACATTTGCATGACCCTCATTATCTTATCTTCCATTAAATGACTTTTAATCCACAGATTTGCCATGTAATTTTCAATATTTTTTCTTCACAAGACCAAATTTCTTAGAATGGTCACACCATGATCGTCCTTTCTTGAGCTTACTATTCTGAGGGGAATTGTTAGTGTACAAGAATGATCCTTCAACATATGTTGTGATGTAATTAACTTTCATCATCAACTTCATTTTATTCTCCTCCTTTATAACTTCCACAAAGGTCTCCTAAATGGTATGTATGGGTTTAATTCAAATGATTGTTCCCCAAACTTCATCTAGGCCTTCATTTAAGGCCAAGGAAAAATTTGATTATCCATTTTTGTTCCGTAATCCTCCTATAAAAGATAGGGTCATTAAGAAATTTTCAAGAATAAATCTTATACATGCCCAATTGCTGCCAACAGTGTACGCGGGTTTCGAAGTATTGAATAACACTCAATTCTCTTCGTTGTAGATCAAATAGTCTAGTCTCAATCTCAAATAATATTGACGACTTTTCAATGTTAGAATTGATCTCATGTGCAATCTTCCATCTCTTTTGTTATCCTATAGAAAAAAAATTTTCAAAACTTTGAAGTCGTGGAATTTAATAATCATGACATAACCATGTGATCATTAGCTTTCGAGGCCCAGTATTTGGAATAATATCAAGTGAGAAGTTCTTTTTTCCCACTTAGTGGGAGAAAGGCTTGTTGTTGTTATTGTAGATGTCCATCTTTTCCTCTACCGCAAGTGTACATGAAGACGGACAGTGAGCATTCAAAAAAATTTATGATCATGCGATTTATGCTTATTGACTAATTGAGAGTAACTAGATATGATACAGACTGAAGACAAAAACTCGAATCTAGCGGTGACTTCCAATGAACAAGATTGCGAGGTCATATTGTGTTTGTCCATGATAGGATTGTGAAGCCTAAATTGAGAAATTCTACTGCTCGAACATGAGAAGAGAAATCTTCATTCGACGACTCAACTGGATGATCGAATAGGAACTAGAGGTAGGTGCTTCCACTAGTTTGGCACTTAGTAGGAGGCGTTCCAGATGCCTATAAGAAGGTGACTCGTGAGATGGTGGCAAGAGCAAGCCAAATCCATCACAAGGGTTGAATCGTTCGTCGCTTTAGTAAACCAAAGAGGAAGAAATGATCCGCCGAAGAAACGATCTATGAAAATCAAACAGAGCATTCAAATGTTCTACGAAAATCTAATAAGTGTTCAAACAATCTGCAGAAATCGATCACAAGAGCCGAATCAACCCCAAAACTATTTTGTGATATGTTTGAATGGAGCATTCAAATGTTTCTACAATCAGTTCAAACGGAAGGAACGAACGAGGGTTTTTGCTCGTGCGTAAGAGAGAGACGAAGCACTTGTTTGAAAAATGACTATTGGTCTATCAAAATAGAAGGGATGAAGATTGTAACCTCCCTTGTGCAAACAAATTAGATTGCTAGCTCTGATACATCGAACAAATTTGGGCAGATTTTATTTCTCACTCTTACTCAATGCATTAAACCTTAATGCATATATATAATAGTGCAGTCAACAAATCAATCCACAAAATAGAAAACTACAATCCATTTAAATGAGGAACCCATCAAATAGGAAAATTAAAAAAAGGAAATATCTAATAAAAGAAACAAAAATAATGAGATATATTCTGAGAGAAGGAAATAAATTCCTTCTTAATCAAGCATGACAGTTTCCCAGATTTTTTTATTAACTATTGATTCTTAATTGTGTGAAAAAAAGCATATGATTAAGTACTCGATGAGGAATTGTTTTTTGTTTCTAATATTTGAAAGAATTAAAGAGATATACAATGAATAACATCTATTGCAGGCAATAACTAAAGAGTAATAATAGGTTTAAATTTATATTAGAGTTTTTTATCTCATTTTTTCCTTCACTTAGGTCTCCATCATCCAAGGAAGAAATTGTGAATGTGATATAAAAAAATCTTAATTTAATAAAACCCTTGTCATCTAATATAATCAAACCTTAATTTATCATTTTTTTCTCATATATTCATCTTAATATTCTTATATTTACCAAACTCAATTTAGATATCATTAACATTCTAAAACCCATTGTTGAATCCATACAATAGTATCATCCAAATTACAACTTTATAGAATTGAATTCGCGCCTCTAAGATATTCTCTAATCACTCAGAACACCTAAGAAACTTATTCATTTTAAACATCTACTTTTATCTCAAGAATTATATTCTCCTCTATTTTCACGTAACAACCCAAACTTTCACCCATCAAGATATTGTCCAGATTTGCCTAATGGTCTTGCAAGTTTATCTCATTAGTGTAACTTTCCAAAAGACCACACATCCCAAGGGTGTTCATTTATGATGAAATTTCAATTGTTACGCCAAAAAGCATCTCGATGCTTAAGAGTTAGCTTCATTGTAAAAAAGAAGTTTCACAATCTCCTCCATTTAAGCAACTACCTTCCTCGTTAGTAATTTTAACTAGAATCATTCACCAAACATATAGGATTCTAGAGGTAGCCTCTACAGATTCAAGATGGCTCCAAACGTGTAGCACTTTGTCCCATCTAGGGTTCAAGAGTTAATTCTAATGGCATAGCATTTGGTTCTATATGCCAATCACTTTGCATTTCTTCAGGCTAGTGTAATACTTTGATACCATTTGAAATAGTCCGAACTCTCACCCATCAAGATATTGTCCACTTTGACCTAATGGTTTCACGATTTTGTGTCATTGGTGTAAATTTTCATGAGCTCACCTATCCCAAGAGCGCTCCCACATGAGCACACTTAACTTTCGAGTTTCTTATAAAATTTCAGCCATTACACCAAAAGGTGCATCGATGTTAAAATTATCTTTGAAGTTGTAGTCTTCATCATGATGTTACGATAGTACTTGATGTCATAGCTAAAGTCATTGCCTGGAATCATTGTTGATAATGCAATTGGCAGATCATTAGTAAGTTATGAATTAATCAAATTGGTTCCCAATTATTTGGACTAATATATTGATTGATTGATTAATTTTTACCTAATTAACACAATTAATTCCTATTCTTCAAGCTTCTCGTCTATCTCAAATAGATTTTGAATTAAAAAGTTAGGTGGCTAAAATAAAAAATTCATTAGAAGGCATAAATTCAAACTTATAAAATACAATTATATGGTCTCTATCATATAGATAAAGTATTCATAAATAGTCACTAATAGCCCAGTTGGGCCATAGTCAACAAAACTGGGTGTATGGTGTATATAATATACTTTATTATGGATGTGTGCTACTAAAAGAGTGAAAAACAATTATACCAAAAAAAGGTGTTGGTGGCTCCTACTGAAAATGAAATAATGAAAAAAATAGCCTTAATTATTTTTGAGTGTTTTTAATTTTTAACCAACGACCGAAGTTGCATTAATAACATGGGAAAAAAAGATAAGGAGAAATGATCATAAGAGAAAAAAGGTATACATGACGTGTGTGTGTGTGTGTGTGTTGGGGGGGGGGGCTATAATTGTACAAACCCGCATCACTTGAACTGACCCGCATTCTGTATCCATCTTGTACTTCAAACACATGATTACCCTGTAGTTATTAAAAGATAATAATAGCATGAGATTGTACATTTTTATGTAGCTGCAAAAGTTAATTCGATAAAAGTTACGGTAAACAGACTTCTTACCTCTAAGACAACATTGGTTGCCTCAAATTCAGCATTACCATGTAGAAGAACCTTCAGCATCTCAAACCTCTTAATATCCAGGCTCCAATAGACATTCTTTGGGGACAACCAATCAACCCCTCTATTCAAAACCTTAACATTTTCTAATTTGCATCTACCACATCTTCCATAAGTTATGGAAAAAATGATCAGCATCTTCAAATTGCAAAGATTACTATCTATAAATGAGTATAACAGCATGCCAACCTGTGCCCATAGTGCAATATCAGCTCACCATGCTCATTTCTAATTGAACCCATAACATTTTCAGCAATTATAAGAAAGCTTCCATTAAGCTGAAATTGCAAAATACTATGTAGTTCAAAGGCAGCATAAGTGTTAAGATATAAAAGACATGGTTAAGCAATAACTACCTGAACATCTCTCCACAAGAACTCAGCCACTTCTACTTGCAATTCCGAACCTTCAGAAATAGATCCGCCAAAGAACTGTAAAATTTAGAAAAAATTCAAGCTAAACGGAAAAAGAAATACATGAACTTAATCTTCTGGAAATTTCAGTAGGAGCTTAAACTACGCCTACTTTCTTTGGAGGGATTTAAAAACCTAACAGCTATGATTGATTGGTTCTTGCGAGTGCATTTCTTCCTACACTCAAGAAGAATATATATATTGAATGTTTTAGGTATCATAGAAGAATCTAGAAGACAACGTAACAAGTTAGCCACTAACAACAACTGTTTTTTTTTATTAATTAAATGTTATGAGAAATATGACTGTTTCTCAAATTTCAGCATCATCATCATCAAGAATCCTGATTTTACATTCACCCGTTAAGTGTTATACAAGATGTTAAATCTGCTATTTACAAATCTTATTGAACTTTTATTTTTGTTATCTTATGCCAACCGTTTTTTCTTCCTAGATCTTTGATACTAATTTAAGTTCCCCATATTTATACTAATCAAATTTCTAAACCACCTAAATATTTTAATAAGTGCATCTTCTAACTTTTATAATTGTAAAATAGATTAGCACCTCATTTAACATTAGCAGCAGCTATATATCTCAACTATTTGGAAGCATCTTTATGAATACTTCGTTTGTTCCTCTTAAGTGTTATATGAGGCGCCAAATCAATTTGTGCAATTCTTTTCTATAATATGTTATATTTGATGTACCATCTTTCTTTCTAATCTTTTCAAATTGAGGCATTTACATGCATACCTCACAATTTTTATATATTTACAGATCTAACACCTAAACATGGATATTTATAAGCACATCACTCAAATCATTAACATCACATTGAAAATATCAAAATTTTCAACTTTTTAAAAGTGACACATATTCATGCATAGGTTTATAAAACCAAGTTTTATATGTAAATATCAAATATTGGGTGCTAGATATGGAAATACAAAACAATTGTATGCTATGTATGTAAATTTCACTTTCAAACTATTTTAGTTCTTTATTGGCTCCCATTAAGTTCTCTACAATATTCATATATTTAGGTTAAAAACCAGTACAATTATCAGTTTCAAGTCATTCGAAGGGTTTGAGGCTGCTGGAAGTGGGGTCGGAGGGGGCTGCAAAAGGATAAATGTCTCGTCAGGGTTGAGCTACAGCTGAACCACCACCAATTCCCTTTGAGACGGTCACCACCTCGAACAAGTTAAACCGGAGCACCTTCTCGTCGTAGGGTGCAGCCCACATAGGAGAAGAACGCCTCCAAGGCATCACTCAAAAATTTGCACTAAGAAAACTCCTCCCTAATCACAGAAAATGGCACCTATATAAAAAGGGGATTAGTAGATAAAATAGGTAAATAATAGGATGATATATTATAGGCAAGCAGAGCAATCAGAGAAAAATAGAGAAGGAAAGGAATCATAATGGGAAATCATAAGGAAAGGAAAGAGATTATTATTTTTTTGTTTTGGGAGGGGAGAGGGGGGGGGGGGGGGGGGGGGGGGGGGGAGAGAGAGTTTGTTGGTGATGTGGCGATAAGCTCCCGCTTCAGTGTTTATACTCATGATCAGAAATAAGTTAAAAAACATAAAAAGCAGCTCTCTGAGCTTTATATTCCGGATAAAATATTCAAAGACATGAATGGAAAAATGTCAGCCTAAAAAAAAAAAAAATCGAGTTTTTGAGCCTAAGATAGATGCAGTGTAAAAAACTGGAACTCGTTAACATGCTTTTTTTTTTCTTGTCTACCCCTTAAATCTGAAAGCCAATTAATTCTGTTGTCAATCAGAAATTAAAATAACAACCAATAAAAATGCTGAAAAGATAGCACAATTTCTGCAGTATCATTTTTGGTTTCAAGAAGTTAGCTGATAATAAAACTACGAATGAACCATTTGATCAAATATAACATTTACCAAAATAAAAATAAAAAATGGCGATATCATTTAAACAAAAATATATGGGAAAGAAAAGCAAAAAACATAAATAATAGCTATGACTAGTAGGAGTGGATTCCCAACTAAACGAGACCCCAAAAGAGCTCATAACATTGATATCTCATTTCAATAGTCATGTGAAGCCACATAAATATTCATAGTAGTATAGCATTCTGTGCAAGTACTCCTGTAAATTACTTAAAGATAAACAAATATAAACTCAATTCTTCAGGAATTTCATGTATGGTGATCGAATCAATAAAATGTTAATTAATAGTCAGCCTCCAACACGTGCGACACTTGAACTCTCAAAATCAGAGGCACTATCGTAAGCTAATATATTGTATCCAGTTATTTAATTGACCATAATTCTAAACCTGGCAAGAAATAGCAAATTAAATTGTAGGGCATTTACATATATACCACCCAATTCTTACGAATGGTACATATCTAAAACCCAAACTACTTACATTTATACCACCCACATCTTTCATAACAAACAAAAAATACCCACAATTTTGACTTTTAAAAAGTCGAATACACATTTTCAAGCATAGGTAAGGTGGCATATTTGTAAAAATTGAAGTTTAGGTGATGTAAATAAATAGGAAATTGAGTGGTATGTATGTAATCTTCCAAAAGTATATGTTTATATCTGTATTGCCCTCCATAGAATGTAAAAATATAATGCCTGAAGAATTACATAAACTTCAATACCTTTTGTCTAGTAACTTCCCAAAGTGGACCTAATGCGGGATTGAGAAGAATGATGAAAGGTGGCCCAGAATGAAGATACTTGCTGTTGTCCGCAATCTAATGCATGAATCAGAAATTTGTTAAATTGCAGTAAAAGATGTAGCAAAAATAAAAATTTGCATAACATAATTAAGGAATTCACAAATGAATAGAATATATTTGAAGATCGTTGCAAATGAAGAAGGCTGCATGCACAACCCCTCCCCACACTTTACATGACGCGGGGGCTATGGAGGACCGGCCTGGAGAGTTCAATCCAGAGTTGGATTGGCTGATCCTCAAGGGGAGGGGGTGCCTATCCTACACCTCTCCCTCCTTCCTGCCTAGTACTTTCCCTATGTCCTTACCAATTCTAAATTCTAATTATTTTACTTATTCTTGCCTAATCTGAAATTATACTAGTTTATTCATCCTTGCCTAATCTGAATTCTTATTATTTTTATTATTCTTTCTTATTTTAAACAATACCTAAAATAAGTCCTAGACCTCATCATAAATAGGGAGTGCTATGCTTAGAGTTTTCTCTAGCTTTTGCTGTGTTTGCTTTCAAATTTTTTGTGTGGAGTTCTTTTCCCTTTTATATGATTGTATCCAAATGAGGTGGTGGTGCTACGGCTATATCCTACTCCGAGGTAGTGTTGTATCCTCCTTTTTACCCTTATCTAACCCTTCTCCTCCCCCTCTCCTCCGCCGCCTGCCTCCCCTTCATCCTAGCACCCAGCCGCCCTTTCCCAACAACATAACCTTGTTATCCAGCTTACTAGACTTCCTTCCAACACCCAGCCAGCCCTTCCCTTCGGCATAACCTGTTTTCCAGCTCCCCTTACTTCATCCCAGCAACCAACCGCCCTTCCCCAACAGCATAAACCTTGTTGTCCAGCTTCCCAGACTTCCTCCCAACACCCAGTCGGCCCTTCTCTCCAGCATTTGTGTTGTCTAGCTCCCCATACTTCATAACGTCACCCAGCTGCCCTCCCTCGACGACATAATCTTGTTGTGTAGCGTCCCAGACTTCATCACTGCGCCAACCACCACTTTTTCTGTGGCAAATCCTGTTGTCCAACCACTCCAAGTTCGCCAAAACCCACCTACTGGCCTGTTGACCTCATTTTTGTGAGGTCTTCTCTTCTCCTCCTTAGAGCCTAGGATCTAGTTCTAGGAGTTCCTATTGACCATCTTAGAAAACTAGAATTGAGACTCACCATTCTAGAAATTCTAGTCAATTCTTTTTTTCCTTTGATGTCTAGCATCTTTGGCACAAGACCATCGTCTTATGAATGAGCGGTTATGAGCTATTTTGTGTAGACTCAGAGGAAAAGTTCTCAATAGGACTTCAAGCCTTAGGAAGACATCGTCACGACCTTTTTCGTCATATACACACATCAAATACACAAAGTTCACGACATTGCATGAAATCGGACTTCAATTAAACCCAAAGGACGGGCGAAAATGCGAACTTCTCTGGATGACCTCCGACGACAAATTGGACTGCGCCAACGCGTCCGGGATACCCATTTTGGTAGGAAAGGACACCCATGTTGCCATATTTTCGACACAAGGAAATTGGCACGCAAATAGATGAAATCGTCAAAACGACTTCCG